TTACGGACAGTAAACTGTTTCCGAACGGAACAAAAACGAATCGTCAAAGTCAAGCGTAAATTTTTAGTGCGTTACTTTACGATTCAACACAGAACAAAGCATGCATTTTTATAACTTATTTAAAAGGAGAGTTTATGTTCGCCATGCTAATCATGAATTGAACACTGAACGAACCAACGAACTGTATAAATTTTAAAGTAAGATAAAACAGCTGATCCATTTATCCTACATTGTGTCGGGTTGAAAGTACCAGAATGTGATTAAAGTCTAATTTCCGAACGATTTTAAGTTCTTAATAATTGGATTAATCCGATCACAGTTTCCAAAAAGTCTTTATATTAATTAGTTTGGTTTGCTGGATAGGATCCCGTGGCAGTTGTCAACGGTTGAACATTTCTCAGGTCGGCTGTGATTGGCTTAGAGTTCTTGGCTTTTCGACATTCAGAAAAAACTCTGAAACTGAAGTTTAAGTTTTGATCGGCATTTCGGTACAAGATATAAAATCACTGACATTCCGAGTCTTGATATTTACATGTCTTTTCTAAATTCCGATAGTTCTAAGCACTCGTATGGGTTGAAATCTCCGTTTTCTGTCTTTTGTTTCTCTGGTATTTCCAGATCTGTTGAGATCTCCGGGTATGACCCGGAGTCTCCGGGTTTTGATGGTACATCTTCGGGCTCCAGGTTTTCTGAAAAAATCGTGATTTTTTCGAAAACATTTCCCACATTTTCTGATTCCGCCCTTTTTTTTAGACATCAATTATTTCCTTCTTTTTTTTTAGACATCGATTTCTTCGAAAACAATTTTGTCTCTCAGATTTCCTGACACCTTTTTTTTAGCCATCAATTGTACAAACGGGTCATATCTCCGGGTCTGTCATGAAATAGATCTGGTAACCCTAGTTGAGTGTCCAATTGTGTCCCTTCAACCTCTTGCTAGTCAAGTATATGGTCAGTCTTTCCCAAGACTGCAAGAACGATGAACGATGTTATACAAGGTCCCGATGTATACAGCATTGTATGTACATGCGGCAAATTATACATTGGTCAAACAGGGACACGTTAGCACAAGTGTCGTTTAAAAAATAACAAAGAAATCAGCACTTACGAAGCACATGGCAGATATAGGACATTCAATAAACCTATTAGAAATGACTCATACGTCAAAATTAAGGACCAGAATTATCACTGGCTAGTCAATCACCTCAAATCATGCATGAGAACGTCATGGACTAGTGCTCAGAGCAAATAAATGGCAACCAGAGCACTTCACCTAAAGTTTCAGTATATAAGTTTCTTCTGAAGAAGAGAATGTAAGTCTTTCTGAAACGCCAAGAAGTCTAAACCGACGACGTGGCAACCAACACGAAAATTGTTCAAACAACTGTACATATGTAACTCCTAGCAATTTTTCTATGAAAAAAAATATCTTTCACTTTGTTGAAGAACTGTTAATTTTCGAGAAATTTCATTTTAAATACAATATTCGAAGTTATAAAAAAATCAATGACAAATTAAAAACCTTATAAACTTTTTCGAAACTAGTAGTTATAGAGTTATATTTAGGTAAGTTATAGGTTACGGTTACATAAGTTAAAGTAATGACGTAAAAATTGCCCATTTTTCCAATAACTCTTTTTTTTCGAAATAACATGTTACAAAATAGCAATGGTATATCTAAAATATCCAATGACATATTCATATCCGATTTTTATTTACTTCTAATTGGAGTAATCAAACTAGATTTCTTCTCTCGTCAAGCGTCTAGAGATTTTTCTTTAATGTGTTTTTTTTTTCAAATTTTAACACCCTGTATCTCAAAAAAAAGTCTCTAGATATTCTTTTATAGGCCTTATTTTCTATTTTAACTATCTAAATCCAAATTGTTAGGTTATATAGTTAATTTTGAGTAAGGATTAGTTTTTTTTATTTTCCCGACTCGCTATGTCTCTAATTTTTGCACGAATAATAATTGGTTCCGTTTTGCTCTACCGGAAATTAAGCATAAATATTTACAAGTCAGCAGTACATCGACGCTTCTGAATTCGAACAAATAACATGCTTAAACTTCGCAAAATATTTTGATACTCTAATGGGTTTGGAAGCAATCAAAATTAAACAGCACTGATGAATAAAGAATCTACTAATCATCATTTTCGGGCACATAGATATCTAGTGTTAAAAGTAAACTATATTATTTATGTGTTTTGTCTATTTCCGTTTCATACAAGTTGTTTTATTCGAACGATTATAATTTTAGTTTTATTGGGTTTTTAAATAATGTAGTAAATGTTGAAGTCATTATAAGGGAATTGACACTTTACTCTTTTATAAAGTAATTGTAAAGTACAGCGAATGAAACTATGTAAGCCTTATGTTTATTGCAGTGATTGACATAATTTTGCAATTTATAGTGCAACCCTCAATTCTTTCTATTTTGTGGTGGTTACATTTCTTTTTAAAATTGCCTCAGCAACAACCAGCCCTTTGGAATAATAAAACAGAAAAATACAAATATAAAGTTTTAGGGGAGACCTTATTGAAAATTGTACACGAGCTGAATATTAACCTCCCATATTAACCGCCAAATTACTTGACGCCATTTTAAAATGAAAAATAATGCTGTTTTCAGTGATACCTACGTGCAAAGATAAAATGAATTCCCAATGATTCACTTCCACTTCACCATCTGTTTTTGACCAAGAGATCAATGGGTGTTTGACAGTATAACTGACATTTTAATTATTTTTTACGTTTCTGTACCTACATTGCTATTCTATTATGTTCAACTAAAAATGCCCTATTGAGACATTTACTAGGACTGTAAATTAATTTCAAGGGATTTTTTTTGTGAATGTAAGTAAGGCTTTATTGTGAAAAATTGTGCACATTATTATTTTTCAAAGTACTATCCATCGCTAGCTACTACTTTCTTCCATCTTTCGAAAGAACAACCCATCTTTTGCTGCCACCCACCAGTCAATACAATTTTTCGTTAGAACCCTTTATCATAGAAATGCAATTCCTTTCACTACATTTTAATAATTTGCAAAGGTAGACGCTGATTCTGAATTAAAATGAAAACATGGAAACTAATTTATACTTGTAACAAAAAGTTTAACAAAATCTTGGAAACTATAGTAGGATCATATTCGATGCAAAGTAATAAATCATTACCTGTCAAGGGAATCAGTGCAACACATTTTAGGGGGGTTTTGGAAATTGAATAATTTCTTTATGCATTATGGATTAACAGTTATATATTTATGAAGGACAAAATGAAAAACAAAGGCATCTCCTTCGCACATTGGGCGGCAGGGCAATAATACATTTATTACTCCTTTCATCCTCCCTCATATAACTTGTGTCTTGTGTTTGTTGCGGGGGGCGCGCGTGCCGGCCCGGCGTGGTCAGTTTCGTTTCGATTGTATTGGTACTGCGTGTTTCTCGCTCGCGATATTTGGGAGGTTATAATAATTGTTATAAGTGCAATTATATTTCGTTCGGGCTGTACGTGTGTTTCGCGCTATTATTTGAGAATTTGTGAGTGAAATCATATTTTTTGTGCTCCGTAACAAGTGTTTTTAGTGTTTTACTTGTGTGCTGTGTGTGTGTTTCGGGCTGTTGTTTGTGAATCGTGAATGCTATTATATTTTCTGTGCTAGTGAAGTTTTTTGTATTATTATTGTTCTGTTGTCGTTATATGGAGAAATGGAGGCGGTACCTGGATGTTCGCAAGCCGGATATACTGCTGTGGGTACAAAAAAATCTGTATTAAGTTACAGAGAAAAAACGATAATATTAAATGTCTATAACGCTTTAGAAAAGGATCATCCCGTGAAACTGAAGACTGGTTTGGTGGAGATGTGTTCTGGATATACTGGAGGAAGCGAATCATCTGTTTTCAAAATTTTAAGAGAGAAGAAAAATGAAGGAGACGTTAAGAAACCTAAAAAAGGGGGTGGAAAGAAGAAATTAATATTAATGAAGATGAGAAAAATGTAGTTCGGCGTACAGTACATAAATAAATCATAGAATTTATATTTTGTTTATAATTTGTTAAAATTTCTTGTTTGATAGAAAAATAACTTATTTTGTTGAGATTGACAGAGAATTGTTGCTAGTGTTTTCATTTGATAGAATCATATCATAGGATTTATATTTTGTTTTCATTCTGTAAATATTTGTAGTATATCTGGCGCGATGAAGGGATCAGTTCACGTCTGGAACCATGTTCCTACAAAAATCCCTTTATTCTCATAAACTTTTTGTTTTAAATGTAATTTATTATAAATCCAATTCGTTATTTAAATTCCACATATGTACTACATTTCACCTCTATACGCGCCACTGTTTATTGTTCCCTGCTCTACGATCAAGCTCGCCAGATTAGTATTTGACGTATAACCGACCACTTCGTACATTCGATGCACCTGGCCGACTACAGCTAGTACCAGAACACAGTGCGTATGCGGCGGTATTTCAGATTTTACATTCAATTTCATTTTAAATTTGAAACGGTTCATCTTACGCCTCCTAAAAATGATGACACGATTTTCCTTTGATAAAAGGCCGACAATTTTTTGCTCTACTTTGCATCGAATACGATCCTACTATATTAATATTAATCATATTCTCAATTTTTTATGAAATTATCATAGACGGCAGACAAAATAATTTTGAGGCGTTTTTCTGAAAATAATTAGGGCGTTTACTACATTTTAAATAAGAACAATACAGCAAAAAATTTGCGAAGATCGAACGCCCTTATAAAATTTATTTTAAACCGACCGTAATCACCGTTTCATCGCTAGACAGCACTGCTGCATTTCATTGCTACACCAGCGTTGCAGGAATAAAAATCCTGCCCATGACCGAGTTCTGCCGAAGTTGTCTGTTGTGTTGTGATACGGCAAGTTTATAGTAAGCACGTGGTCATTCTAGTTGTAGCGACTGGCGGCGGATACTGGGTTTGATAGTATATTCTTGGTATCCTTCCGATGTTTCGTGCGAGTGTGTAGATTTTTATTCCTTTTAAAGCAAGCCTTAAGGATACCTTACTTCCACACTATCACGTTATAGCAATATATAGAAACATTAAAAAGCACTTTAGTGAAAATTTTTATACCGATGTTGTTCAAAGCAATAATTTGTTAAAAAAAATTAGACTATAATTGTTTGTGATAAGATCATGGTTGTGCTTATATAAAATTGATGTGCCTTGTGAGAAATTTGTTTGTCATGGATTGCTGGATGGAAGATATGGTATGTTAAATCTTTTTAAACATTTTTAGAGATCTATTGTTTTTATTTTTTATTTTACCTCGTTTTATTTCCTTTAAATAGTTTTGAAAAGACAACGCTTTTCATAGTAAATATTAAATTTTACAAGATAATCTCATCATCAGAATTTGTTGATGGTTCACTTGCCAGCGTGCAGTTTAAAATATAACTGTACATACATTTTTATTATCGCACTTATTATTTTTATTTTTCTATTACTAGCCTAAATAAACGTTTTCACGCCTTGCAAAATATGTTTTTGTTACAAATAATATACATGGAGTAACTAAAGTGCCTATACAAACATTAATGGCGAATTCATCCCTTCAAATTAACAAGGTCCTCATGTAGGAGTTAAAAAAAGTATATTTTGAATTCGTGAATAAACTGAAGCTGATATGATGTTGCATTTGGTAAATACTTTTAATTTTTCGAGCCTCATATTTTTTTACGTACGGAGGATAGTGGCAGGGGCGGACTTAATAATTTTCATTCTAAATTTTTTTACCCTCTAAAGAATTCGCAAAAACCTATTTTTTTACTGAAATAAATATCATTGAAATGCGCCGTTCTCGAAATAAATGGTTAAATGTCGAAACAGTGTTTAATAAAAGGAGTAACGTTAAGTTATTATTAAGACATTAATAATTTAATAATATATCAATTCACGAAATGAAATATTTACATGGCGTCCCTCAATTGTTTTTTTTTTTGGAACTTAAAGTAAACCACATCTTTACATTTATTGCTGAAAATGGACCGAACACATATTTATAGGTTTTTTTGTGAATTTGTAGTAACCACCACTAAAATTTAGTTTTATCCTGTAAAAGCATGAAAATGTAAAAAAGAAAATAAATCTAAAATTATTAAGTAATTCACCTTATTCCATAAGTCCATATTTTGAAGTAATATAACAGTTCATTTTAGAAAGGAACGATTAGTGGCTCGGATTAGTCTGATTATTATGAAAATTAATAAACAGTGTCTAATTTACAACACTACAATAGGTCATATACAGGGTGTTTCAGAAAGACTTCCCGTAAATTCAGGAGGTGATAGTACGACAAAAAATAAGAATTTTTGTCTTATGAACTATATATCTATCTCCTCTTGTTTTCGAGATACAAAGTGACAAAGTAAAATTTTTAAAATAGAATTTTTACGAACATATCCAAACGGTGCGAAACATTTTTATGAAATTTAGTAGTCCGAGGTTTTTCAGGACGCCAAATACGATGGTCTAATTATTTTTTGTATATTTTAGAGAGGGCGCTAGTTATGCTCCATTCGTATTACATTTTAAGTTCTAATTTTTTAGAGGTTAGGTTTTTTAGCTTTCGGGCTCCAATTTCTAATGTACAATTTTATTTTCTAAAAATAATGTACTCTTATTAGAACTTCCTAATGTGGACGGTTTTCGAGAAAAAAGGCTTTTAATTCAACTCTTACAATATTACGGTGTAGAAAATAAGTGACTTTTCTCAAAGTAAGCCTATGTCAAGACTTATTGATGGATGTCTCATAAACAACGCATACATTCTCAGTAATATTTTAAACTCTAATTAACTTTATATCAAAATTTTAGTGACTGTAATTAGTCATTACTAACTACAGTCACTGACAATCACTAGAGAGTTCAATTAAAAGCCTTTTTTCTCGAAAACCGTCCACATTAGGAAGTTCTGACAAGAGTGCATTAGTTTTAGAAAATAAAATTGTACATTAGAAATTGTAGCCCGTTGGTAAAAAAACCTAACCTTAAAAAAATTAGAACTTAAAATGTAATAGGAATTCAGCATAACTACCGCCCTCTATGAAATATCCAAAGAATAATTAGACCAGCGTATTTGGCGTCCTTAAAAACCCCGGAATACCAAATTTCATAAAAATATTTCGCACCGTATGGAAATTTTCGTAAAAATTCTATTTAAAAAATTTGATTTTGTCGCTCTGTATCTCGAAAACAAGAGGAGATAGACATATAGTTCATAAGACAAAAAATTCTTATTTTTTGTCGTACTATCACCCCCTGAATTTACGGGAGGTCTTTCTGAAACACCCTGTATAAAATATTTTTTATTAATCTTTAAATTCCAAAAAAAAAAATAAGTTTTCCAACATTGTTATAAATATTGCATGGTATATTTCACATAATCAGGGAAATTTTATAATTACAAATTGGATCGTGATGTTAATATAGCAGCAGGGGATGAATCAGCATTTGAGGTATTTTTAAAACATGATTCAATCATGACACTTAAGGGATTTCGTGCAAAAAAGAAAACGGAAAGTTAGTGTTGGTACTTCCACCTGAAAAATGAACAAAGCATATTTGGCTGTCAATTATAATAAAAATAAATCACTTAAGAAATGGTGAACTCTCGGGTGAACTTAACTCCTATAATTTTTGCAAGTGCATTTATTTAATTATCTCACTCGTTACTTAATAGATATATACTTTTTATCGGCAAGTATGTACATTTCAAACAAAATTTAATACAGTATTTTTTAGATGATTGTGTCGACTTTTTAGTCATTATTTTACGTATTGGTCGATAGTCTTTATATTTATATTTCTTTACATTTTCGCTTTAACCAAAAACAAAACCACCTAAGTAAGTAGTAACCTTTCCAAATAATTCATTTTGTTGTAGCTGAATATACTGGCTGTGGCTTCTGTTATTAAAATATTAATTTAAATAATCGACGCATCCTATTATTTACTTTCTCTATAATATTAACTGAGGTTCGAACTTGAACTTTTTTTGGATCACATAACCTTTAAACTGCTTATAGAGAATTGGTAATTTAAATCCCAGTTTTTACTGTAATAGTTTTACAGTTTGGGGATTTAAATTCGCTTATGTGGACATTGTTTTTGCCAAATTTTAATTACATTAACATTTTGGACTGCTTCCCTCACATTGACAGGTAGCACTACTCTTCTAACCTTCAAATTTATTTAAGCAGCGGCCATGGTCTAAAATTATCAAACCAACTGTTTTCGGACTGTCCAAATTACGACTTAGTATCGACAATTTAACTCATTGATACGTCCATTTTTTGGGGCCCGTCTCTGCCTTTTCTAACAACTAGGTAACTAAATATTGATGTAGGTTAGTGCTGCTCGAATACTTACCGAACATGTGATGCACTGTGTGGTCTAATAATAGTTTAACGGATTCGTGGACAAGGTCAATTTATTTTTTAGTGTTCCAATCTGCGATCAGATCACAAAGGATGCTTTAAATATGTACATATTATTCGCGTTCTTTTTCTAGTACACAATACTAAAGATACTGATGTAGTAACAACATAAATTAATTAACGTTAATAGATATGACAGTACCTGTATTACATCCACAGGTAAACGGTAAATACAGTGTTTTGATCTATAACCAAAAAAATTAATCGGTGCAAGTTGCTATGGCATTTTCGAAAACTCGATATTAATAGAGCTGCATTGCAACAAAGTAATATATTTTTAATATTTTACCATAACTTTTTTCAGTTACTTAAATGTTTTTTATAATTGTTTGTAATTTTATTTCTAATTTTTCTAAAAATTTAAATATGAAACTAAATCATTAAAAATCTTCTTGTTCCAAGTCAATAATAAACAGTTTCTGGTAAAAAAAAATGAATGTAACTTTTGAAAGCACCTTTAAAAACGGTTAAAATTTCCTGGTTTTCACGGAGCACGGTTTGAACAGACAAAAATATATTTTTTCGAAAAGTTCGAAAAAAATACACACTGAAAAAGGAGTTATGGCAAAATATTAATTAAAGAAAAATAACTAATATTATGTAACTCTGTTAATGTCATGTATTCGAAAAAGTCTTACACCCCTGAAATTTTATACTCAATTCGGGACACCTCGTATGTATAAACTAAATATAAAATGTGTACATAGTTATATTTTTATTACCGGTATATTTGTAAATGAATCCAGTGAATCATTTTTCAAAATTACAAATATTTACAGACATATTATTTTTTTTTTAATTAGTATTATAAAACATTTAGTTAATTATTAGAGCTGTCTTAATTGGCCGCACACCAAAGGATCATCAATATAAAATAAAGTGAACAATTATTAGAATATTTATGTCATTGCATCATTGTGAAACACGTAAATTGTTTTATGCATCGTTGCCATCGGTTCCACAATCTGGATGGGATCCGTTATAGATCGCATCATCTACCCTTGTTTCAACGAAACTTATTCTCGGCGCCGGCGGCGGCGCACTATGAACGATTGGAACTATTAGCGTCGAGCGCATTTTCGATATTTTTCCCTAAAAGGTAATCCCTTTACCTTTAAAATAACTCTTGCTAAACCTTTTTATCTTTTTTCTATCCAGAGTTCTATGATTTTGACACTAAAGTAGTTCCAATCGTTCACAGTGCGGTGGTGATAAAATATCTTAATCTGAAGAGAACGACCGTTCGACATCTACTGATGTAATATATGCATAATTAAATACCTAATCTACTTCCAAGCTGGATCGACATGGTAATTTCTAGTGATGTAACGAATATCCGCATTCGCAAATATCTTTGAATATTTTGCGAATATGAACGTGAAAGAAAAATACAGAATGTGAAAACAATATTAGGTAAATTAAACAAAAAAGTTAAGAAATAACTAACAACAGTCTAAACAGTCAAACATACAGTCAAACAAAACAGTCAAAAATACCGTTCTACCAACTTAACAACGCTAATTTCTTTAGACTCTAGCGCCGCTGTCACCGGAAATATGTGCGTCGCGCGCGGCATATTTTGAATCATAGATAAACGGCGCTAGATTTAAAAACTGAATATTCGTATTCGCATTCGCGAATGTCAACAACAGATGTTCGCATTCGCATTCGCGAATGCTTAAAAACTGGCATTCGTTACATCACTAGTAATTTCCATTTGTGGTTGTATTTATTCCAGTAGGAATGAAATGTTTTATTATTTACTGTATCAA